GGCGAGGCTGGAGCGCGGAGCCCGGGGCAGCGGGGCAACGCTGGAGAGTGCAAACGCCGCCAGGCAGAGAGGAGCCAGGGGCGCCGTCCCAGGTTTGCTTCTCCTTGTCCCGGTGTCTTGGGCAAAGGACTCCTTCCTTCCATGGAACAGCGAGAGCAGCTATTCACGTGCGCCACGCACAATGCGGAGGGCTCCCTATGCCAGGTCGTAGGGAAACCCCAGCCCTGACAAATACCTGCAATGATTGTCCAGAGTATCCTGGGCAGGTGGCTGATCACACAGCCACGGTGATGCTCAAAGTGTGGTGTCCTGGGCCAGCAGCACCAGCAGCACCAGACAATTTGTGAGAAATGTAGATTCTTAGGTCCCACCCCAGCCAGACCTAAACAACCCGAATCTCTGGGGATGTGGCCCAGAGATGTGTGTTTTTAAAAGCCTCCCAGGTGATTCTGGTGTACACTCCGTTCTGAGAACCATGGAACATATACTGGCAGGGCTGGTTTTAGAATCCAGGTCAATTTAATTCCTAAACTCATGCTCTGAATCACCCACCCGCCAGGGCTGCTCACTGATCCTGTCCAGCTCTAAGGTTCTGGGATTTATCTTTGGGTCCTTATCTCAGGAATAGAGAAGTAGCATAGCTGACTCCAAATAGCCAGTAATGTGGAAACTTTCTTGGTAGAATCGTAGACTACCAATTTTGTCTTTCTTTTGTTTTGATATTTAAATGATTTGTATTTCTTTTTTAAAGTATGTTTTTACTGATTTCAGAGAAGAAGGGAGAGAGAGAGAGAGAGAGAGAGAGAGAGAGAGAGAGAGAGAGAAACATCAATGATGAAAGAGAATCATCGATGGGCTGCCTCCTGCATGCCCCCCACCAGGAACTGAGCCCACAACCCAGGCAGGTGCCCTGACCTGGAATTGGATCATGACCTTCTGGTTCATAGGTCGACGCTCAACCGCTGAGCCACACCAGCTGGGCTAAATGATTTGTATTTCTAAGTCCATAGGACCTGTGAGCAGGGGTCTGGGTGAGAAGATCTGAGCAAGAAGACAGTCCTGACATGAACTGGGACAGGCAGGGAAGCCACTTGGGGATTAACAGCTGGATGAAGAAGTAATCTTGTTTTCTAATCTGGGACCCCGTGGGAGGAGGCCAGCGGTTTTCCAGTGATGGAGTCTGGAGAGACAGGATCAGTGGAGCAGGGAGATCTTGCCCGGCTACACTAGGTCAGGGGAATGGTGAAAGATGGACATTCCCAAAGGAGTAGAAAAGGAGGTGTCCCCACTCTCTCAGCATGGTCACCTAGCTCCCCTGACTAATCCTCTAACCCCCAACTCCCTTTCTTTCACACGAGAGACTTTCTGGGGTTTAAATTCCTAAATAAAGACTTTCTATAGCATTTACCTTGATCATCCATTTTAGCCCTTTTACAGACACTCAGGGCTCATTTTCACTCCCATTGCTCCCCTTGCTACCATTCTTGTCATTGGCCTTATTTGACACCTATCTTTCTCAGAATAAGGACATTCTCTATCAAAGATTGTGGGACGCTGCCCCGCATTTCTCTCTCTCTGGGGACTGGACACTTCTGTGTGGGTCTGGCCCTACTATCTTTGCTCTAGCCTTCCCCTAACTCTCCTCTTTGACCCCCATGGGCCACGTGGTTCTGACCTGGCCCTGGAGCCTTAGTCAGGACCCAGCCTGACCTGAGGGTGTTGGGCTAGGCTGGATTCACAGCCTCTGTTCTCCCCAGGACAGAGTCATGACCGCCAACCACATCCCGGCGCTCCAGGTTCCCAAGGAGTGCTCCACTTTCCAGAAGCAGATTACTCATCCAATGTTGCTTCAGCTGACTCTGATTTTAAACGTGACTTTGAGTCGTCAGAATCATTAGTTGTCTAATTTGCAGGCACATGCAGTCTACAGAATGTGGGACCCACCCCTAATGTGTCATGCACTGGGCTGTTCTCTCCTAGCAGGGAGGACGGTTCGCGCTCCCAGGCCTCTGCTCCAGGAAGGTCTGGAGATGAGCCACCGCAGAATAGTGACTGTGACCTCAGCCTGCCACTGGTGGCAGGCCACTTTTAGAAAGTGTTTTGTGTTTTTTTGTTTGTTTTTTTAATTGAAAAACTTATATAGGCACATAGTTACAAAAAAAAAAAAATCAAGCACTATAAAAAGGTATACAATGAAAGATACAGTTCCTGCCTCCCTAGACCTTCAGTCCTTCTCGCTAGAAATCATCTATGCATGTTTATGACAAACTCTTCCTATCATCAAGCATTTCTGCAGGACATGCCTGAATTCCCTGCTCCTCAGGAAGTCCTGTGAATTTCATTTTTTTCCTCACAATCTTATTTTTATTTCTGGGCCATTTTAGGATTTGGTTTTGGGTGTTCTGAGTTTCGTTTTTCACATCAGTGTGCTTCAGGGGGTTCCCCCACCATGCAGCAGGAAATGTGGTAGGGAGCAGATCAGTGGGAGCAAGTGAGACAAGAGTAACGCTGAGGCTCCTGACATCAGCTTTGGCCCTTATCTTCCTTCCACATGCAGTTCTTGGTAAGGAGACACCCACCTCTGTGTGGGCAGAATGAGGGAGATTGGCCCCTCAGGTGGAGTGCTGCCGGCTTCACTTAGCCGGGAAAGTTTGTAGAGAAGCTGACCCGAGCTTGCCTGGGAGGTTAGGAGGTGGGCAGCCGGCCTGCTGACAACCTGTCCACCCTGCTCATGACTTACTCCCCCACTCCGGAGGCTGGCTAACCACACATGGAACCAAGCAAGTCCCTTTATCTTTCTTGCATCTCAGTTTGTTATTTGTCAAGTGGGGTTAATGATGCCTCGGGTTGTTAGGAAACTCAGGCAGATCACTGAGGTGAAAGTGTGACCGTTTAGTTCTCCTACTACATCTGTTCCCCCTTCCTTCTCATCTCATTCCCATGCCCAGAAGAGAAACCATCAAAGTGAAAAACCTAAGCAGAGCTGTTTCAAGTTCTGTCATCATCATTTATGCATACAGTTCACTCACCTCTGTTTGCCTCAATTTCCTCATCTGTAAAATAAGTATAATATTAATTTTATTATTGAGTTGTCAGATTAAAATAAGTGAAATGTTTAACCCACTGCCTAGTACACAATAAGCATTCAGTAAAGGTCAGAATGTTAGTCATTATCATTAGCTGTTTTCCTTCTTCCTTTCTTTTTTAAAAAAATATATTTTTATTGATTTCAAAGAGGAAGAGGGAGAGAGAGGGAAACATCAGTGATAGAGAAACATCAGTGATGAGAGAGAATCATTGATTGACTGCCTCCTGCCTGCTCCACACTGGGGATCAAGCCCGCAGCGTGGGCAGGTGCCCTGACCGAGAATCAAACAGTGACCTCCTGGTTCATAGGTCGATGCTCAACCACTGAGCCATGCCAGGTGGGCCCTTCTTGCTTTTCTACCTCCAACAAAACTATGTTGAAGCCCACCGTGGGTAGCTTCTGTGCTAGGCATTGGGTAGGACACAGAGATACAAAGGTAAATAAAGCACACCTTTCTCCACAGGACATCTTTAGTCTAGGAAAGGAAGTTGATAAATGTAAAAAGGAGTATGACTGGTGTAGAGCCAGGACTATGCTAAGGTGAGTGAGGCACTTGCTTTGGATGCAAAATTGAAGGGGGCCCCCCAAAACTCAATGATCAAGTAATATTTAATGAAATATTTTTTAAAATCAAAATTAATGCAAAAAAAACCCGTGACAAAGAAAATATCAACAATCTATAATAATAAAAGTGTAACATGATAATTAGACCAGACATCCTTCTGGACGTCCTTCCCGGGCTGCTGCTGCGAGGGCTGGGGCGGCAGCAGGGCTGCTGCCTCGGCAATCTATAATAATAAAAGTGTAACATGATAATTAGACCAGACATCCTTCTGGATGTCCTTCCTGGGCTGCTGCTGTGAGGGCTGGGGCCCCGGAGCCCCTTGCACGAATTTCAGGCCTCTAGTTCAAAATAAAGAATAGTGCTCTGCTGAGCCATATTGGAGCTTGAGGCAAAATTTAAAAAAATGTGTAACCCATATTCATGTTTTTCTGTATATTTTAAATAGTTATTTTTCTAATAGTTGTAGTTGAAGAAATATTAAAAAATTTAAAAAGTAGGTGTATTAAAACGCCCAACATTAATTTAAGTTTAAATATTTTATTTATACCCAAACAGAATTTACTGATTTTACTTCAGTTTAAGTTAATTAAAATTTATTTAAGATCATCTCTTGGTCAAGAGAAATTTTCAAACATGGCAGTTTCTCAACTGAAAATGAAATAAGCAAAGAATTAGATTTTGAAAGTATCATTGGTGAGTTTACTTGCATTAAAGCCAATTTTCTTTTTCCTCAGGCTCCAATATAGCTCAGCAGGGCATTGGATTGGGGTCTGGACAAAGAACC